GGAGAAACCTCTTGAGGGGAGGCACATAGGGAATGGCCCGAGCCAGCCTGACATCTGAGCCTGGTGCAGGATTCAGTCAGGTGACACTTTGCCAGGGAATCTGAGCAGAGGAAGAGGTGGCGCAGTTGCTAGGTGTGCGAGTTACTTTTTCAGCTGCCTTAAGGAGAAGGGACTATCAGTATAGCTGGCCGGGGGGGCCAGGGCCCAGAGCTTGGGCTCTGGGCCCCCCAACCCCCAAAGCAGATTGTACTGAGGGCTTCTGGTTCCTGTAACAAGAAGTCTGAACTGCGCTGTCCCTCTGAACCAATAAATCTTCTGTTCTACCTGCTGCCTGAGTCACTTGTGACTGTGGATGGGGGGTGCAAGGCCCGCTGACTCCCACAAACTCCGTGACAAAGGCAATGCCTTCCCTCGCCTAATCTATGCCACCATGGCCCCCCAAGGCGTGGGGTCTGGGGTAGGGGTAGGCAATGGTGTGAGGAGGCAGGTTGATTCCACGGCTCGGCAGATCCGTCCAGTGCAACTGTGCTGTTTGCCCAGCATGGCTATATACATGCGCGGGCTGCAAATCCACCCAGGAGTGTCCATCTTCAGGCCAAGGTCAGAATTTTGTCCTTTCTTCCTTTTCCCCTCCTCCCCCCTCCCTCCCCCCCCAGGTCCAAAGTGGACCAGCCTCGCGATATCCTAACGGGGAACCCCACGGTGATCAGGCTGGTGGTGAGTTTTTACCGTAATGCCCGTGGGCAGAACGCCTTGCGCCAGATCCTGGGCAAGCCAGTGCAAGAAGTCCTGCAGGACAAAACCCTCAGTATCCGCACCAACCCTCTGGACATCTACAAGGCCTGGATCAACCAGCTCGAGTCACAGAGCGGACAGAAAAGGTCAGGTCTGCGCTCCTGCCCCTTGCCCCATCCCCGCCCCTAGTCTTGCCACAGAGGCCATGTTACTTTGCCTTTTTGCTGATGCCAAGGGGTGTCTATCTTCTGTCCACAGCCAGCTCCCATATGACGTCAGTCCGGAGCAGGCCCTGAGCCACCCCGAGGTTCA